GCCTGCCAATCCATTACAAACTATTCCCACAACAATTCCTTCGATTCCAACTATTGCATTCTTTTCCCAGCCCCCTTCAAAGTGAATAGTTAGTGCTTGAGATGCTGCAATTTAGTTAAATTGGATTATGCCTCTATCGGCTTCAGAGGCCCATGCGTTTGTTTGTTTAAATCAATGGATGCAGAGGTTGTTCTTTTTGTGAAGTCATTCATTCACTTTAATTTTACTTTTGTGGTTACTTTCTATAAAATTGTTGAATGTAATTTGTTGCTGTACTGCCCTTTGCTTAATAGATTAAAAATTATTTGTTTATTTTAAAGAAGTTTAATAAGCATTGATGTTTGTCAAGAGAGTAACAAATAACCAATTACTAATCAACACTTCCCACTCATGTCTATAAATAACTATAAGCATTGATATGAACTATAAATAACTGCACTACTCTACTAAAATAGCCAAGACAATTTCTATTGATGCTATGCTTTTGTGCATAACTTCCTTTTAACTATACTTCTTCTAGCATTATCATTTTCAACCTTTCATATGAACTTGGCAGCTACATCTCACCAGCCTTCCCTTCTTCTTGGGACACCGTCGCCAGGAGCGCCGACGGTGCCCTCCGCCAAAGTTCTCATCCCTCCAAAATTGACTACACGAACTCCTGAATTAACATTGTTGTCTGCTAGTAAACATATGAAATATAGCCCTTTGAATCAGCTTTCCAACAATCAAAGAATCGTCTTAATCTGAGGTCTACAGCTCGAGTTATTGTCGAAACACCGAGGCATGCTCAAACTAAAGCGTAATCTAGAGTCTCCTCTTTTTTTCAAAGCTCCATAACTTCTTCAATTCAACTTCGATTTTTGATCCGTTTGTTTCTACTCATCACTCATTCCGTTGCCGATATGATTTTTAATTCGAGCATAACATTTAGCACTAATAACTTAAAAAATACTCAAACACACCTGTGATCTCATAAAAGACAATTATGAAAATATTAAGCAACTTTACCAAATTAAGCCTAATTTCTCACAAATAATTCCCATAAACCACTAAGTAAATGTGTATTTTCAAGCTCTTATCACCTGCAATGCCAAAGTCAAAATCGCCTCCTAGTCCTACCTGTTGTGGGGATTTAATTGGATACTGACAAATCCTAAATCCCTGAAAGCGAAAATAATGCGAACAAAGGACAAAAATTAACAACACTTACAAGCGCAAGATTTATAGTGGTTCACTATTCGTATAAGAGCTATGTCCACTTTTCCGCTATGGAATTTCACTATGAAGAAGAAGAAAAATTGCAAGAATCTCTAGCCTCACAAATTGGCTCACTCAATAAACCTTTTTTTTTTGTGATTCTCACTCTCTAATTGTGGCTTTGCCTTCTATTCTCTTTGTGATATCTAACTGTATGAATTAAACCCTTTTTATAGGTAATACATGTGACACTATTCCTAATAAGACTCAAATCACATATCCTAATAGGAATTTATTTTAATTCCTAATACATATATATTCCTATTTCTAATTGTATTCCTAAAGGAAAACAATTCTACATAAACACATATTAAGAAAACCCTTGTCCTAATCCAATACAAATTTGGATTGAATTTGGCTCTACAATCTCAACACTACCACAAAGCCAACAGTGCCTAAATCTCCTATAGCAGGTATACCACTGCCTAAATTTCCTTTTGTGCCACCAATTTTTTTGCTTTTTCATTCCACCTCCGGCTCATACTTGAACTACTATAAACTTCTTGCTAATTATTCCAGAGTCTCTTAATCCTTTGGTCGTTTTAAAATTAATTCTTCTATACTAATAATAAATTTTAATGTGCTTATTGGATCAATTCACTCTATGTCTCCTTGTTTCTAAGATTTCAAGTTTTTTTCTTTATGTATTTTACTGTCATACTTTACTCCTCCACGTGCGTAAACTATTTTTTTAGCAAAGTGAGAGCAAATCTAATAATAAGGGTGTGTTTGGTTCAACGAATGTTGTATTACTAAGAATGTTATATTAATAGAAAATTAGATATTTTGAAGATTACTGAGAATATTTAGGGAAATGTGTTTGGTTAGGTTGGAATAAATTGGTGGGTATGTTATATTTATATGTTTGGTTGAGAGAAATAAATTAGTGAGTATGTTATATAGATTATCGAATTGCCTTTCTATTTTAATAATATTATTATTATAGATTATTTTTTTAACCCCTTACATTTGTTAATTTAGCTAAACACCCCAAAAATAAAAGTTTAAAAATTAACTAAAGCACCCCAGACACCCAAGAGGATAGTAATTATAGGGGTGTGCAAAATCGGTTAATGACTAATATTGGCTACCCATTAATTTATGATAAAATTACCTAACACTCAACAACTTCGTTTAGAGTTGATTATTTGTACTGAAGAATTAAGAAAATGACTAATATAAGAAGCAGAAAAGGATATCCTATTGACCATTGCTTGCTTTAAGATCAGTTGTTCCATTGACCATTAATGAAGGTCAAAGATAAACCATTTGTTTTGGTAAGAATAAATATGTAGTTCAATTCAGGTTAAGAAAGTGAACTAATAATCATCCTTAATTGAATCCTTTTTCCAACCAGAGCTCATCAAACTTAATCTCGTGCTTCCAAATGTGCATAACCCTCCAACATTTCTTCTTTATAAATTCCATCCCGTAAAGGTTGCTCCTTCAAAATCACTTGATACAACTTGCCCAAAATTGAATCCTTCAAGCTTTCTTCAATTTCTTCTTCTATGTCAACAATGGCTTCTTCTAAACATTGTTTCATACTATTAATTGTTGCATTATCTTTGTCAAGCATTAACATTACCCTAGTTAAGAGAGATTAGCCATTTAAGCTGGTATCAAAAAGGGAAAGAATCTCAAGTTTTTTATTGATTAACTTGATGAAGAAGGTGATACAGGTGTTTATATACATGTGCATTACATGTGCACTGTAACAGAAATGTAACTAACTCCCTAACACGTCAGTTATATCAATGGCGGTCAATTTTCTTCATATCCTAACATCCCTTCTTAAACAAAACTTCCATACTTCTTCGCTTTTCTTATTACATTCTTTCTCATATCCTAACATCCACCCTTAAACAAAACCTTCTCAACTGATCAACAAAGGAAAATCAACCACTAGTAACTCTGGTAGTATTATTGGAGAGTTTGAGAGCCACAACTTTTTTAGAGCCATAACTCTTTAGACAAACAATAACATCTTGAATAGTACTTGTCAATAACACATGAGAACCACTGTAGATTCAAAATATAGCCCAAGAACAGACCACAGTGAATATTGCTGCATTTCTTCAAAAATATCAAAACACTTCAAGAATAAATGGCAGAGCTTTGCATGTCATAAGCTCAAAACACTTACAAGGATAAACAACAGATCAAAATATAAGATAGACTGCAAGATACTACTAGAAATCTTGCTGCACTTCACGAACTGCTCAAGATGGTCAAATATTCTAATTAAGCGTTAGAAGTAGAAGCCACTGAACCACAGGTTTCATGCACAACAAAAGGTGGTTTAACATTAAGCTTTTTATGAAGTAGTTCAAATCTGGAAGCTGAGAGAGCTTTACTAAATATGTCAGCAGTTTGATGCTCAGTAGAAACAAATTGAACTTTAAGCTTGTTGGAGGTGACCTGCTCTTGGACATAATGAGCATCCAACTCAATATGTTTTGTTCTACCATGGAAAACAGGATTTGAGTCAAGTGACCCTACATTTTGGTTATCACACCATATGATAAGTATCTCTAGTAGCAGCAGTCCAATTTCAGAGAACAAGCTACAAAACCAGGCTAATTCAATAGAACCTTGAGCTAAGGCTCTGTACTCTACCTCAGTGGAGGATAACGCAACTACTTTTGCTTTTTAGAGTTCCATTGAATTAGGTTAGACCCAAGGTAAACACAACAGCCACTGGTAAAATGTTTTTCTGAAGGATTGTAGGCCCAGTCAACATTTGTATAGCAGATTAGATTAAATCTGTTGTTAGGACTGAATAACATACCATAGTTTAAGGTCCCTTTGATATAGCGGAGAAGCCTTTTACAAGCTTGCTAATGCAACTATGTTGGAGCCTTCAAAAATTAACTCAATTTATTGACTAAGAAAGAAATATCAGGCTTAGACAACGTTAGTTACTGCAGTGCACCAACCGTACTTCGACAAAGAGCTGGATTCTCAAATGGTTCACTGTCTTCAAGGGCTAATTTAGTGCCAACAGCCATGGGAGTAGTGCAGGGATTGCAGTCCAGCATTTTAGTTTTGATCAGCAAGTCTTTTGCGTACTTTGCCTGGTTTATGTGCAGATTGGATTCATCTCTAGTCACTTCGAACCCGAGAAAGTAGTGTAGTGAACCTAAAGATTTTAGTGCAAACTGAGTGTTGAGTTTTGTAACTATTTTATGAACCAGGCTTGAGTCATTGCTAGTAAGGAGTATGTCATCAACATACACAAAAATATACATTTGTATCTCTTACTGTTGATAGATAAAGAGACTAGGATTAGCTAAAGAATGTAGAAAACCCTATGAAAGGAAGGCCTTCTTGAGCTTATCGAACTAGGCCCTTGTTGCTTGCTTGAGACCATAAAGTGCTTTGGTTAATTTGCAAACATTATAGGGATGTTGTGTACTAACAAAGCCTTTAGGTTGTACCATGTGAATTGTTTCAATAAGCTCCCCATTCAAAAATGCATTATTGACATCCATTTGTTGGATGTTCCACCCGTAGCTAACTACAAGGCTCAAGATGACTCTAATTGTTGGAGATTTTACCATAGGACTAAATGTTTCTAGTTAATCAATCCCAGGGGTCTGCTGAATCCATTTTTCCACTAACCTTGCCTTAAAAGATTGAATGGAGTCATTAGGATTGGTTTCAACCTTGAATACCCACTTATAACCCACTGGATGCATATCAAAGGTGACAGGAACCAGCTCCCAAGTGTGGTTGGACTATAGTGCATCGAATTCAGCCTGCATGGCTGCCTTCCATGAAGGATGAAAGAGAGCCTCGAACACAGTAGCTGGTTCTTTAATATCAAAAGATGAAATGGACACAAGGGCAGTTTGAAGAGACTTTGTTTTGGATCTGGTTTGCATGGGATGAGTGTTTAAGGACTTGTCTTGTGCAGGATGGGTTGTAGGATCAGCTATAGGTAAGCTTACTACTAGTGGAATAATGTTATATGACTTATTAGGAGAAAGAGTTATGGGAGATAGAATAGATTCTAAACTTGGAGATGAGTTTATAGGAGGAGAATTATTAGGAGATATTGACACGGTAGAATGTGTAGGAGGACTTATATGTTCAGAAGAAGTTGCCACAGGAGACAGTTGTGAAGCGGAGGATAAAAGAGGAATAATTGATGACCTAACTGGAAACTCTGAATAATCACGTGTGGTGGGACATACAGGAGACAAATGTGAAGAAGAGGATAAATGAGGACTAATTAAAGACTTGGCTTGGAATTCTGACTGATCACGTGTGGTAGGACAAACAAGATTAAAAATACCAGACAAAATATTCAGAGGTACAGAAGTAGGAATAGACCAAGAAGAAGAGACAGGAACAGATGGCAAAGACTTAGACGTAGCAACAGTAGTAGAAGTTGAAGTAGAATTAGAAGAAGTATGGAATGGGAAATCTGACTCGTCAAAGTGAACACTTTAACAGGTATGTACTCGACCAAAAGGATCTAAGCACAGATAGCCTTTATGTTGAAGACTATAGCCAACAAAAGTGCACTTAACAGTATGGAAATTAAATTTATGAGCACTATAGGGTCGAAGGAAGGGATAAACTGCACAACCGAAGACCTTGAGTACAGAATAATTTGGAATAGTATGAAACAGCTTTTGGAGGGGACAAAAATTATCTAAAATAGGGGAATGACATCTATTGGTAAGATAAACTGAAGTTTGAAATGCAAATCACCAATACTTAAGTGGCATGCTAGCTTATGCAAGGAGAGTTAATCCTTGTTATGCATCCTCTCTACCCTCCCATTTTGTTAATGGGTATGGGGACAAAGGTGCCTAAAGAGTATGCCATGATTCTTAAAATAAGGAACTAAACTCCTATATTCCCCTCCTCAATCAGTTTGAACACATTTGACAGAGGCATTAAATTATTTTTCTACTAGCTTATGAAATTGAGTAAAGGTAGTATAAGTTTCAGACTTGTTTTTTAAAGGAAAAATCCAAGTAAACCTAGCGTGATCATCCAAAAATTAAATGTAATATCTAAACCCTTTAGGAGAGATGATAGGTAAAGGTCCCTAAAGGTCTGAGTAAATGAGTTCAAGAGGTTAAGATGCTTGAAAATCAGACTTGGGGTAAGTAGACTGATGCAGTTTGCCATATTGACAGGCTTGGCAGAATTTAATATCTGGTTTTGCAGGATGAGGTAATTGTAAAGTTTTAAGGATATTTGTGAGAACTAAAATGTTAGGATGACCAAGACGTTTATGCCGTAGCATAAAGTCAGTTTTGAAAGTTGGAAAAACATTCAATTTATTTCCAATAAAGGCATCAGTTACAACTGAAATAGGAGCAAATACAAGAGGATTATTATGACTAATACAGGACTGATTATTGACAAAAACATTCATAGGTGTACACTTATTGAAAGTTGAACACAATTTCTGAGTTTGAGACAAAACATCAACATTTTTATTAGAGACACTAATGTAAGGAACGAGACTGCTGCTGGTGGACTTTAAGGAGATTGAAGGATCCAAAACTCCATTAGATTAAGGAAATGAGTGAACATGATCTTGAAGGCAATAAAGTCCAGCTTTAAGTACCCCGTGAAGAAGAATGGCCTTGGATAGTTTGTCCTTAACCATATAGTGGTCAGTAAAGAATTCCATAAGAACATCATTATCTCTAGTGAGCTTGGATACACTAAGTAAATTTTTTGTGATATGGGAACAAATAAGATATGTTTGAGATGTAAATTTTTAACAGGACAAAGTAATATACCAGAACCAGTATGAGAGATTGATAGCAACTCACCATTGCCAACCTCAAGTTGTTCACTTCCTGTGTAGGGAGAGCTTGTTGTTTCCTGGGAAAAATCTAAAGTAACTTGATTTGTGGCTCCTAAATCCATATACCAAGCAGCATCTTGAATAGTGGTTGATGAGGCAACATAATTGATAGCAGGAGGAGTATGATTAGGGGGCTGAGATTGTGCCATGAACACTTGATTGGACTAATTAAAATTGGGAGCTGAAGGCTGATTTGCAGTAGGTGTAGGAGTTGAACCAACACTTGTCAAGAATTGAGTATGATATCCAGTTTGGTACGATGGTAATGGTCCTGAAGAACTGGCTTGTGAGTAATGAAGAGAAGGAGCAGAAGAGTATTGTCCTCCAAGTGGAGATTCAGATGATCTCACAAAGCCAGGTGAATTGAAATTGCCCTTGATATACAAATTATTCCCTGTGTAATTTACATCAAACCAATGATAGCAATGTAAAGCAAGATGACCAGCTTTTCCACAAACTTGACAAATAAACCTGTTTCTACCTCCTGTACATCCTCTACCTCAGCCATCAGCATATCTTCTAGAACACTGATTATTAAAGTAAGGTTGAGGCTGAGGTGTAGCAAAGACAGATGAATTCTAAGCAGTAGGTAAGTAGGAGGAATTGAATCTAGTGAATTGTGGTATAGATGAGGTCACCGTGTTATACTGATTTCCAAGGAGTTGTGATAATTGATCAGATTCCAATTTCTTGTTCTCATTATCCCCTGAAATACTAGAAACATTAGCTGAACTACTATGAAACTCATTATGAATCATTGTCCTCATTACGGTATGTGCTTTCTCCAATCTAAGTTCAAGTTTTTGTAAGACAATCTGAGCTTCCTGGACAGAGATTGGATCAACCTTAGATTCAAATTTAGTTGTTATATTAACAACAGTAGAGTCATACTCTGAATCCAGACCATCCAGAATATAATTCAACAACTCTTCATCAGTATTCACCACTCCACTTGATGATAAATTCTCAGCATAGTTCTTCATTTTTAAAAAGTAATCATGTATTCTCATGTTATCCTTTTTTGTGTTTTGTAAAAGGTTTTTAACGTGAAGTGTCTTAGCTCTAGATTCAGTTAAGAATTTTTTTCCAATGTGAACCAAATATCAGTGGCAAATTAACACTTAGAGATCACCTTAAACATAGATTCTGAAATTGATGATAATAACCAACTAACTAACATCTTATCAGTTTTCTTCCAAAGCATGTATTTTGGATTAGGTTTTTTAATTACCTCTGATTACGTATCGTCTAATAAGGCTTTCACAAAAGGAGCTGTACATGATATTAAACCGGTAAGGTGTTCTTCAAGATCACGAGCTCCAACTGCAAAAAGAATATGTGATTTCCAAAAGCGGTGGTTGTCCCTCGTTAGTTTAGGTGAAATCGCAGGCAGTGTTGAAGACGTCATTGTAGTAGAATTGACAAGGTTATTTGAGTCAAAAGTGTGTTTAGAGCTTGAGCTATTGTTTGTCTTGTGAAAAGGTGAAGGATTTTAAGAGAGATCAGTCATTCTTGACGTTTCTCAATGGCTCTAATACCAGTTTAGAATACTGATGGAAAACACAGAAAAACAGAGAAAAAAGGGAAAGAATCTCAGGTTTGTTATTGATTAACTTGATGAAGAAGGTGATACATGTGCACTGTAACAGAAATGTAACTAACTCTCTGACACATCAGCTATATCAATGGTCAGTTTTCTTCATATCCTAACAAGCATTAACATTAGCCAAGCCAGTCGCCACCTTTTGGACACTCTAGTAGCTCCACCACCAGCATTAACACTACCTATAATTCCACCTTTGCCTAAGGCCACATTGCCCCCACTGCCCTCCATGCCATCTTTGCCTAAACCATCACTGCCACCATTGCCCTCAACTCCATTGCCAACACTTCCAACTCAACCAACCCTTCCCAAGCCCACATTGCCACCTTTGCCAAACAACCAAATTTCATCTCTGCCTAGTCAAACATTGCCTTCAATGTAACGACTCCATTCTCATAAAAATATGCATAGTAAAAGTACATGTAAAATAACATAAAAAGTTGGGCCCAAAATTTTCTTTTATTAAACATATGTATTCTTCATACAAATATATACAAGATTTGTATCATATGCAAAACTATCAAAATAGGTTGGACAGTGTAGCCAATTCTCTTCGTGTGCCGATGTCCATCCGACCGTGTCCTCATCTAGAACCTGCAAAAACATAGGGAACAACGGGATGAGCACAAAACAATGCTCAGTAAGTAAACCCTCTACTCAACTATCCCCGTAACTCTCTCTCTCTAATTCTTTCCCTAGAATTTTTATTTACTCTTTCTCTTATACAACTCTCTGTTTTCTCTTTCTCTTTCTCATAACTCCTTTCTGCTAACTCTCTTTCTAGTAAGTCACAGCCCCATCTGACTGGAGGCACGGTTGGGACTCGCTCCCACTCCCTATAATTTCTACTCATTCTAGCCGATCGGACTTGGTTAGGCATGGATTCGGAACCTTTGGCCATGTGAGTGCATAGAATCTCTCGGGTAAACTCAGGTATAGCCCTCATCCGCATGTACTCTACGGGCTACACCACTTCTCTCTCTGATACTCATGCCGCTCTCTCAATGCGACGTACATATGGGAATACTCTACCCGTACTCACAGGTTCCCCATCACACAACCTACTCTATTCTCTTGTTTAGCACTACTCTAGCTTTGACACTATAGTGCTTATTCTCTCCTTCTCTTTACTCTTAGAGTAGCTTAAACTCAAAAATCTCTACTCTTTCTCTACTCTCTTCTCTAGTGCATAATTAATGCATAGTTAATGCACATAAATGACTCATGCTCATTAATGCATTTATGAGATGCAATTATGCCATGTAGCAAAAATTAAGGCTTTCTACTCTTACTTATGCTTCTCTTGAGCATTTCATCATACAACTCATGTGCATATAAAACTCTACTCTAACTCTAACTTTTCTCTTTTCTTTAATCATCCAANGCCTAAAATCAATTCAATTGATTTGCTTTCTTCTTAATCTTGAAGCCAAAGAGGATCTAGCAAATCCCTCTTTGGTTCTTTTGAGATTGTCTTCGTGTGGACTACGTGGGTTCTATCCTACACTTGGATCGGTAGCAAAACATTCGTTGACAAATTTGGAGGAGCCTCCAACGTGCGTTTGTTTCTCTTTAAACTCAGATTTATTTTTCTGCAGATTTTATTTAATATGAATTTTAAAATCATACCCTTGATCTTGGCTCATGTAAACAATCCCTGAATTATTTGTTTTTGTTTTCGCTGCATGTATGGGACCGTTTACTAACACATACATCACTATGGATGATGCCTAACAATTCAGTAGCCCTTTTACCTTGTCCTGTGAAAAGAGACTTGGTCATCTTGCCTAACAGGCATGACTCACATACCTCAAATGACTGAAAGTCAAAAGGGTCCAAAACTCCATCCGTTTGAAGTTTTGCAATGCGGGTCTTATTAACATGACCCAATCTACAGTGCCAAAGATATGTCTGGTTTTGATCTCTATGTTTAGCTTTCTTGGTTTCAACATTGAGAACATCTTTATTGTTTAAATCAAGAACATATAACCCATTATATAACCTTGCAATTCCAAACAGAATATCATTTAAACTAAAGGACAACAATCCATTAGATATCTCAAAATGATACCTTATATTATCCAAAGCGGATACTGAAATAATATTTCTAGAAAGAGAAGGTACGTAATAACAGTTATGTAGTTCCAACAACAAGCCCGTAGGCAAAGATAAACAGAAAGTCCCTACAGCCAATGCAGTGACATGTGTTCCATTTCCAACTCGTAGGTCCACCTCTCCCTTAGCGAGCACTTAACTCTGCCTTAGTCCCTGCACATTGGTACAAATGTGAGTACCACATCCTGTGTTAATGATCCAAAATGTATGGGAGAGAAGTTAATCTCAATCATAAATATACCTGATGTTGTAGCATCTGATTTCTTCTTGCTTACGAGGAAAGCATTGCATTATTTCCTCCAGTGGCTAGGCTTGCCACAATAGAAGCAGACTACTTTGCCCTTCCCTATGCCACTCTCAGGCCCAAGAGCACCCTGTCCTTTGGGCTTGGGCTTGGGCTTGGGTTTGACCTTGGCCTTGGCCTTACCCTTGCCGTTACCCTTTCCTTTACTGGTAGCAACCAGTAAAACAGGCTTGGACTTCTTCAAGTCTTGCTCTACAGTCCTCAACATGTTCAAAAGCTCTGACAGGGTTTTCACCATTGTGTTCATATTGAAGTTCATTATGAATGGTGCATAAGAGTTAGGCAAGGATTGCAGAATCAAATCCATTTGTAATTCTGCATCCAACTCAAATCCCAAAGTCTCAAGCCTCTCTATGTGCTCGATCATCTTGAGCACATGAGGACCAGCTTGGGGTCCCTCAGTCAGACGGCGTTCAAACAGTGCTTTTGACACCTTGTACCTCTCATGTCGAGCATTCCCTTCGAAAAGCTCCTTGAGATGTAGAATAATGGCAGCAACATCCATATTCTCATGCTGCTTTTGCAGCACTGGTGTCATCAATGCTAATATCAAGCATTGAACGCCATCAGCATCATTAAGGAACTTTTGATAAGTGTCCTTTACTTCCTAAGTGCCATCAGGATCAGGCTCAACCATGTATGGCTTTTCAAGGACATGCAAATTCTTTTTGACTTGAGGATATACAAACCAGTCTGAGAAATTAGATCCATCCAACCTGTTTTCTTTCTCGATTATCGGTCGCAAGTTCATAATGCTCATTTGGTGAATCTCCAATTGTAGAAAAGAAAAAGTCATTATAAAGTTCATTGTTATTTAATATGGTCTTTTATTAAACGATGCTCCCACTATTTTCCCCAAGTCAATAGCCCTCACTATTAACTCGGGAAAGCCCGTTGGCTTTCCTAGTGGACTGAGATCCCATCTGGCCCATTTCAAACCTTTGCTTTGGCGAACAAGCCAAAATGGGTTGATTAGGTAAGCCAACAAACTTAATCCAAACAGTTGATAGCTTCTACTATCAACCTTAAATGTGAAGAAGCCAATAAGCCAATCACACAATCCAATGGCCCCAACCATCGTCCTCAAGTGTGATTCTCAATATCAGCAGAATGGACACTACATGCCC